AAGTTACGTGCAAAGGAATGCCAATTAGACTGTCATCTGATTACTCAACAGAAACATTTCAGGCAAGAAGGGAGAGGCATGAAATATTCAAGGAGATGAAAAGGACCTACCACCAAGGCTACTTCACCCAGCAAGGCTATCATTTAAAACTGAAAGAGAAATAAAGAGTTTCCGACACAACAAAAAGCTAAAGGAGTTTGTTACTACTTAACCAGCACTGCAAGAAATGTTAAAGGGCTTGCTTGAAGAAGAAAAATAGAAAGACATGGAAAAAAAAAAAAGTCTAACAAAAAAAAGGCAATAATACATATCTATCAATAATCACCTTAAATGTAAATGGCTTAAATTATCCAACCAAAAGACATAGGATAGATGAATGGATAAGAAAACAAGACCCATGTATATGCTGCCTCAAAGAGACACATCTTAGGTCAAAAAATATACACAGACTAAAAGTAAATGGATGGAAAAAGATATTTCATGCAAATGGAAAGGGAAAAAGCTTCCTATGTTGGGCACATAAATACCCAACATAGGAACACCTAAATATGTGAAGCAAATTTTTTCATTATGTTTTATTGAGAAGATGCTTGTTGATTATGCTATTACTCACTTTATGAGAAGATGCTTTATATTACAGTTGTCCCATTTTTTTCCACCTTTTCTCCCTCTGCCCAGTACCCTCTTCCCTCCAGCAATCCCCCCAACTTAGTTCATGTCCACGGTTCATACATGTAAGTTCTTTGGCTTCTTTATTTCCTATGCTATTCTTAACTTCCCCCTGTGTATTCTGTTCCTACCAATTATGCGTAATCCTTGCACCATTTGGAGGGTTATCATCTGGGAGAGGGAAGGGAGAGAAAGGGGAAATGTGGAGCAAATCTTGATGGACATAACGGGAGAGAACAATAGAAATAGTCATAGTTGGGGATTTTAACACATCACTGATTTCAGTGGATAGATCTTCTAGGCAGAATATCAACAAGGAGACAGTGGCATTAAACAACACACTAGATCAAATGGATTTAAGTGATATTTTCAGAGCATTTCACCCCAAGTAGCAGAAAACACATACTTTTCAAGTGTACATGGAACATTTTCTAGGATAGACCATATATTAGGGCATGAACAAGTCTCAATAAATTTAAGAAGACTGAAATCACATCAAGCATCTTCTCTGACCACAATGCTATGAAACTAGAAATCAATCACAAGAACACTGAAAAGCACACAAAGACATGGAAGTTAATATCATGTTATTAAACAATGAATGGGTTAACAACGAGATCAAGGAAGAAATCAAAAGATACCTTGAAACAAATGAAAATGAGGACACAATAATCCAAAATCTGTGGGACACTGGGAAAGCTTTTCTAAGAGGGAAATTCATAGCATTACAGGCCTATCTCAAGAAATAAGAAAAAGCTCAACTAAACAATTTTTTAGGTGTAAAGCTCAACTTTACACCTAAAGGAACTTGAAAAAGAACAACCAAGCCCAAAGTGCGTAGTAGGAAGAAAATAATAAAGATCAGAGCAGAAATAAATGAAACAGAGTCTAAAAATGATACTAAAGACTAATAAATCCAAGAGCTGTTTCTTTGAAAAGAGAAACAATATTGACAAACCTTTAACCAGACTCATTAAGAAAAAGAGAGGACTCAACTAAATAAGATCAGAAATGAAAGGTGAGAAATCACAACTGACACCAAAGAAATACAAAGGATTGTAATGAAATATGCGCAACTATATGCCAACAAACTGGACAACCTGGACAAAATGGATAAATTCCTAGACACATACAATCTTCCAATACTAAATCAGGAAGAATCAGAGACTCTGAATAGACAGAGTACACCCAGTGAAATTGAAGCAGTAATAAAAAAACTCCCAACAAACAAAAGCCCTGGGCCAGATGACTTCACAGGTGAATTTTACCAAACATTCTGAGAACACTTCTCCTTCTCAAACTATTTCATAAAATTCAACAAGAGGGAAAGCTCCCAAACTCACTTTATGAGACCAGCATTATCCTAATTCCAAAACCCAATAAAGACACTACAAAGAAAGAAAATTATAGGCAAATATCCCTGAAGAACATAGACGCTAAAATCCTCAACAAAATATTAACAAACTGAATAGAGCAATGCATCAAAAACATCATACACCATGATCTAGTGGGATTTATTCTGGGAATGCATGGTTGGTACAATATTCGCAAATCAGTAAATGTGATTCACCACATACACAAAATGAAGGATAAAAACCACAGGATCCTATCAATAGATGCAGGAAAAGCATTTGATAAAACCCAGCACCCATTTAGGATAAAAACTCTCAGCAAAGTGGGAATAGAGAGAACATACCTAAACATAACTAAGACCATTTATGACAAACCCATTGCCAGCATCATACTCAATGGGCAAAAAACATAAGCTTTCCCCCTTAAGATCAGGAAAAAGATAGGGACATCTGCTTTCACGTCTCTTATTCAACATAGTACTGAAAGTCATAGCCACAATAATCAGGCAAGAAGAAGAAATAAAAGGCATCCAAATAAGAAAGGAAGAAGTAAACTGTCATTATTTGCAGATGACATGATACTGTATATAGAGAATGCCAAAGATTCCACCAAGAAACTACTAAAACTGATAAATGAATTCAGCAAAGTAGCAGGATACAAAATTAATATCCAGAAATCATTTGCATTTTTATATGCCAATAACAAACTAACAGGGAAATTAAGAAAACAATCCCATTCACAATTGCTACAAAAAGAGCAAAATACCTAGGAATAAATCTAAACAAGGATGTAAAAGACTTATACTTGGAAAATTATAAGACAATGAAGAAAGAAATAGAAGATACAAAGTGGAAGCACATACCATGTTCATGAGTAGGAAAAATTAACATCGTTAATATATCCATATTCCCCAAAGTAATCTACAGATTTGACACAATTCCTATCAAGATATCAATGACGTATTTCACAGAGCTAGAACAAATATTTCAAAAAGTTATATGGAACCACAAAAGGCCCCACATAGCAACAGCAATCCTGAGAAAGAAAAACAGAGCTGGAGGAATCACGGTACCTAATATCTAACTGTACTCTAAGGCCACAGTAATCAAAACAGCATGGTACTGGCATAAAAACAGACACATAGATCAATGGAACAGAATAGAGAGCCTAAAAATAGACCGACACCTTTACAGTCAATTAATATTCGACAGAGGAAGCAAGCACATACAATGGGCGAAAGATAGTTCATTCAATAAATGGTGTTGGGAAATTGGTCAATAGATATATGAAAAGATGCTCAACGTCAAAAATCATCAGTGAAATGCAAATCAAGAGCTCAATGAGTTATCACCTCACATCTGTCAGAAGGGCTATCATCAATAAATCAACAAACAAGTGCTGATGAGGATGTGGAGAAAGGGGAACTCTTCTGCACGGTTGGTGGGAATACGGACTGATGCAGCCACTGTGGCAAGCAGTGTGGAGATACCTCAAAAAATTTAAAATGGACCTGCCTTTCAACCCAGCTATTCCACTTCTGGGAATATAGCCAAAGAAACTCAAAATACTAATTTGAAAGAACATAAGCACCCCTATGTTCATCGCAGCGTTATTTACAATTGCCAAGATATGGGAGTAGCCCAAGTGTATCACTCAGTAGATGAATGGATAAAATAACCATGGGACATTTACACAATGAAATACTGCTCAGCCTAAAAAAAAAAGAAAAAGAAAATTTTACCCTTTGTGACAGCATGGATGGACTTGGGGAAACGCTAAATGAAATAAGCCAGTCAGAGAAAGACAAATACCATGTGATTTTACTCATATATGGAATCTAATAAACAAACAACTAACAAGCAGAATACAGACAGATTCATGGATGGAGACCAGGATGACTGCTGCGGGGAAGGGGAGATTAATGGGTAGAGGGATTAAGAAAAAAGGAAAAAGGACTCATGGACATAGACAATGGTGTGGTGATTGCTATGGGGTGGGGAATATAAGGGGACTAAATACTATTAAAAAAATAAGATAAAATCAATAAAAAACAAAACGAAACAAAAATCCAGAACGTGTGAACTTTGATCATTCAATTCATCAATGTCAAGGACATTCATGAAATTATGAGGCGACCTAGAAGATAACTAATTTCTATTCGTAGGCAAACAGCATCTCAATGCTCTTCTCTCTTGAACTTCCAGACATTTCTATAATTATTTATTCCCAAGAAGGACACTTTTCAGTTATTTTTTATGCTATTTGTATGTAACATTTCGGTTTTCTCCAGTGAACTTCAAATGGACAGTTTTAAATTCTTTAGCTTATAGTAATCATTTTAGAGTCACTTACTTAAAAAGTAAACAGTATATATATAAATTTGTGCAGCAGCAATGAGAAATCTGTAAAATCAAAAAATTTAAATAATGCTATTAAATACATACAAAACTTTTAAACCAGCCACATCTATTTTAGTAGGCTAAAGATTGAACTACTTCTAAGATAGGAGAGTAAACAACACAATTGTTATACAAATACTTTTCAGTGCTTTGTGCAAGGTTCTATGGCTGATTTGGGTACAGACTGAATCCTAGAGATTAAAATACTAAATGTATTTTGAATGAGTTTTAAAACACAGGGCCAAAAGGCAGTACAGCATGTTTCTCCAGGAAGCAGGACAAAAGTAACTGAAGTTCTTTCCAGTCTTCTGAATTTTCAATTTCCTGATAACTTGGGAAACTACTGGAGGATATGGATTGTCAATTTCTGAGAAGCTCTAGCCATAAAAGTATGATATGTTTTGTGACAACAGAGTGAGATTTTGACTCTATTAAAAGACAGGAAGCAACTTTTACTGAATGTCTGATGTAAAAAAGTTGATAGCGTATGTTTACACTAAACTTACCTCATCTTTGAAAAAAGAAATATTTGCAAGAATATTTTAGTCTCACATTTGTGGGGGAAGTTTGGTAACTTACCTTCCAGATATAGGCAGCTTCATCGCTTGAGCCACTGACTAAAAACTGGTCATCTGGACTAAGGCTGGATTTAATATAAAAGGTGGAGTTCTGATGTCCATTGAAGGTAGCCACTACCAGAGGGGAAGAAAAAAAGTGTACTGACTATTGATGCAGATGGTCAAGCTACATTCACCAAATAAAAGGGAACTGGGCACTACCAGAAAATAAAGCAAATTCTAGAAAGAGGCTATATTATATTAAATCCAATCTCATGATTCAAACCCACATACTTGGAATGGAGCTGACTACAGAAAAGAAAGTAATAAAAAACATTCTTAAAAGACAGAAACAGAGCCAATGTCCAATCTTTCAGTAAAGTGCTTTTATAGACCCTCTCTCCCCACCTCAGGGTATGGCTTGCTCCGTTGCATAATATATTGATCTTTATTTCTCTAAGAGTTCTGATCTCTTGAGGATAATTTTACGTCCTGTTCTTTCCTCACTTAGACTTTATAGTGCTTTGAATAGAGTAGATCCTCAAACATTTGTTGCATGAATAGGTAAAATTCAGGAACCAGAGTTAAGATTTATGGACAGCTTGTCTGGCATGAGGGAATCTTTAAAACCCAGCACTTAAAATAGGCTGAACAGCAGAAGGAGCTAGAAGGGGTAAACTATATGTTCATATATAAAATGCTCCAAATAGGTTAGGTTTAGCCTTTAGGTTTAGACCTCCCATTACACGTGGTTAAAAGGGCAAGTAATCCAATCTAGAGTAATGTGCTGGATAGGTTGTTCTATCCTAAGGAGACCAAAATTTGAAGTCTCCAGCATCAGAAAATTACTAGGATATAAAAGAAAAAACTTGTTATTGAGAACTTAAGAATACATTTAGGCAGGGGGGAAAAAAATCCCACCTCAATCTTCTAACAGAGGGGAAAGAATTATTAAGGGACTGAACAGCTTTCCATTAGTGCTCACAGAAATCCCTTCCTTTTGCTAGAATAAAACTGGAAAAAACTTTCTATTTATAGCTTTTTAAGAAAAAGCTTACATATCAAATACTCTCCACATTAAACACTTTCACTGTTAAGTTAAGCAGGGTATAAGTCACTTCAGATACATATATTATAGAATACTATGTTTGGGTCTGTTAGGAAACTTTTTGTGTTTTATTGAAAGATTGTACTATGAACAAACATGTTTCTAGAAATTATGGAATGTGTTCATAGTTTGCCAACCAAAAAAATACTGGTATAACTAACAATTCACACTTGCTTACTTCTTAAGTTTTCACTAGAAATTAAGGTTTCTAAGGGTTAAAAATTATAATCAATATACATAGTTAAAACTACTAAAACAGTAAGGGAAACATTCTAGTATGCAAAGAAAATCAGTGTTTTCAGTTGAAAAAACAAAAATAATATAAGAAATGGAAATGTATTTTGTTAAGGGAAAACAAGGTAATTTTGTCCTAAAGAGCAGTTTAAAAAAAAGGAGAGAAACAATAGGACAATATCTGAATGTAAAAAAGGAAGTTATAGGAGGTTTGTCAAAAAAGAACCTTAAGAAGAGTTTTATGCATGGTCATGCTTGCTAACATTGAGATGAATTTAATCAAATAGATGAGTCTTAATACCAAAAGTAACCTGATACAAAATTAGAATTTGGTTTTCTCTCTGTTAAAAGAATGAAGTTTAATTGCACTTTTGGTCTGCTCTTGATGAAGAGATTCTGAATAGTTTTTCTTTACCTGTGAGAAATCTACCTTTAAAACAGGAATTTTATGTTTTATCTAAATAAACTCGTATGTTGTTTTTATCAGGTCTTTGATTACAAGAGCTAAGTTTTACTTATAAGTATCTAACTTTCTGAATTTGGCTGCAAAATCTTTAATTATCATCATGCTTAAATGAATAACTAAGCATTATTTCACAGTGACCTATGATCCTATCTGATTATTTTAAAACATTGTGACAGTTTTTGACAAACTTCCTATAATCAAATTCTAAATGTTGTCTTTTTGACTTCAACTAACTATAATTTTTCAGAGGGCCCTTGAAACATTTCAAAGAATTTATTCTTTTATAAAAAAAGAGTTATCAAACTACTCAGGCTTATTTGGAATATTACATTACATGGGAAACATTGTCAAATAAGAGATAATAAGCCTTCTTAGGTTATATTGCATGGGTGAATGTTAACTTTCAGACCATACTATTAAATTGGGCCAGAATTTGTAGAACTCTAACCAAAAAAAATTGATGGCTTCATAAAACTGCTAACAGAAGGTCAAGCAAGAGCAACAAGAATTAGAGCCCTGGCCGGGTGGTTCAGTTGGAGCATTGTCCCATACACCAAAAGGCTGCAGGTTCAGTTTCCTGGTCAGGGTATATATGGCATGCAACCGATGGATGCTTCTCTCTCACATCGGTATTTCTCTCTCAAATCAATGGTCTTATCTTCAGGTGAGGATTAAAAAAGTAATATTTACATAGGACTAAATGAACTAATAAAGATGATTATAATTTTTATGACTTTTAGTTTGAAATATTATTGGTTCTTTAATCTTTGTTTTCCAGATATAAGAGCATTTTTTCCCTTCCTGAGCTGCCTATGACCCAGAGCAATTTGGTAAATTATATCTATCTAAGCAGAATTAAAACATTTATCTTTTTCTTCCTACCTGATCCCTACAGAATTTGGAAACTCTTACTAAGTATTCTTTTTTCCATGCAATATAGTTATTTATGTAAGTTCACTAAGAATCTGTCCTCTTTGAAACAGGACATAAGTGGAAACATTGGTTATATTACCAAGACTTTGACTGGAATGTCATGTTTGACAGAGACACATACACTCAGATATGACCAGACACCTTAAGGAACTAAGATTGACTTTATGGAAGGCAATAAAGCCCCCTTGGAAAAAAAATCAGCATGGTACCTTGCTTACAGGGTTCACCAGCCTTAACAAGTTCTTTCCTGGCAGGCACAGGAAACAGGATATTTTAGGGACCTCAGTAATTAACTCAAATCTAAAGGTATCACAGGTGAAGTCCAATCGCAAGCCTTTGGCTTGGCTTAGCTTTGAGAGGCTGTTAAAAGTTCAGTCTGGAGATTCCTTATGAAATGTTACAGCAAAGCAGATTTAGAAGAACCGATATGATCAATTGCTATTCTTGAAGTATTTATGTAAATAATCTGACCAAGTTTATTGAAATGATACTTATTTTGCCCATAGTCATAATCTGGTTATCTTTGATTAAAATGAGGGTGGTTATAGAGAAAAAAACACTTTGTTTCAATAGAAACTATAAGACACACTTATGGAAATAAGATTCTAGTTCTACTGTCTATTGTCTTTGAGATTTTGTTTTCCATCTATAAACTGGGCTGGATCCTAAATTCTAGTTTCCTCAACTCAACAAACTAACATTAGGCTAATAACTCAACAAACTAACATGTCCAATTTTTCTCCCACTTTTGACTTGGAATCATTGAGAACCAGAGCTGCATTTTCCCCAAAGCCCTGCAAACTGAAACTGAACTTCATAAACACTTAAGAGGGATCACCACAGTTAAGTCCATTTTTAGACTCTCTTTATGCCTGCTGTTGTGTAAGCCACTCAGAAAGTTTATCTGAGCACCTGATGACATCATCAAAGACATTTCAAACTGCAAAAGATGTTTCAACCCTTACATCTAGAAATCTTCCTGTCTGGTTACTCCCTAGGGTCAGAAATTGGAATATAATTTGCTCCAATCCTTGACCTTTGTTTCTCTTTTGTTTCCAAAGAAATGCCTCTTTATATTAAATACATGACTTCTTGCTTACACAATATAAACCTAATTTGGAAGATCACATGCATCTCTGATTTCTGAAATGAATTTTAACTGGACTGACCTATTGTCAAGACTAAGAGACTGGTTCAATGCAAGAGAACAATCTACCAACTCAGCTTCTGGACCGTGAACCTTCTTGGAGAAGTTTCAAAGGCAGGACTGACTGTAGGGGAGCGAAATTACCCATCCCAAATGTGTCTCTTTGGCATAAGGATTAATTTAAGCTGATTATTTTTAAGAAACAGAAGGCTCACGAAATTTTTCTTTTGCCTGCCTCCCCCACTTAACTGCCTAAAAGAATTTAGATAAAGGGTCTGTTCCCATAATCCAGATATTACCAGAGGCATCTCTGAAGAATATAGACTATGCGTGGTGGGGAACATTAGAGATCAGAGTCTGCTGTGTCCCACTTCCCCAGTATGACCCAGCAAACATTTGCCTACTAAACATTTGCTTTTCCATCTCCATGTGAATTGCCTTCCACACCTCTGAATTTCCTCCCAAACCGCGATCCCCTTCTTCTTAGCTCACAATGACATAAACTCAACGGCCAGTTTGTTGTTGCTATCTCCCCTGCAATATTCTTGTGGCATCCCTGTATGTAAAAAATTAAATTGAATTTTCTCCCATTAATCTGCAACATGTCAATTTAATTCTTAGACCAGCCGGAAGAGCCTAGAAGGGTATAGGAAATTTTCTTCCTCCCTGATAAGGAATAAATCCCCACAAAATAAACAGGCTCCTTTACTCTGACTACAACTCCAAAACTGTAACTGTTCATCTTTCTCAACTCTAAACTATGAATGAAAAACTTAGAAACCATATTTCCCACTAAACCTGAAAGTATTTATTGCCCTCTGCTGGTGTAAGAAAGGCTAACATAAAATACACTATTACTTTGTATATTCAAGCACAATGAAGCAAAAAATCCTTCTAAAACCTATTTTGAGCTCAATTTTATTTTTCTTTGAGCTCTTAAAGTGTTTCATTAAAGTGCTTCACAGTCATCCTTATGAGTATCACTTAGTATAATAAAATATTATGAATTAAAAGTGGGCCAGATCTCCCGTAGAGGGTGTGCGAGAAGCAACCACATTGGTATTTCTCACTCTCTTTCTCCCTCATTTCCCCTCTCTGTAAAAAATAAATAAATATAATCTTAAATATTTAAAAAAAAAAAAAAAAAAAGTATGGGAGATCAAGTATTGAGCCCAGGATCGTTTTGAAGTTTTGAAAAAGAGAGCAGTTACCAGACGTGCCACACACACACATTTGCCTGTTACTCAATTTTAAAGAAACAGTATCATCTATCTTCCTACCTACTTACCTACATATCTGAGGCAATTAAGTTTTTTTAAAAAGATTTTATTTATTTATTTTTAGAGAGAGGGGAAGGGGAGAAGAAAGAGAGGGAGAGAAACATCTATGCGTGGTTGCCTCTCACGGGCCCCCTGTTGTGGACCTGGCCCGCAACCCAGACATGTGCCCTGACTGAGAATCGAACCACTCTTTGGTTTGCAGGTCCACGCGCAATCTACTGAGCTACACCAGCCAGGGTCCAATTATGTTTTTTTAAGAACGCAAGAAAAAAGTTGCTGAATTATTGGTATAGTGGCCTTGGGCATATCTGTTTGATACCAGAGGGACAAAGTGAACTCAGGAAAATAGCAAAGTAAGTTATAAAACCTTTTTCATTTCCTGAATACTCTTGTTCTTGTTTAGGTAACACCAGACCTATTTCAGGGCATTGGAAATGCCAGTTGTGATGCCGCCACCGATTCGAAGTCCTAATAATGGCTTGGGGACAGTCTTTGGAAACTTCTGTAAGAGCTCTGCTAAGTTGTGTACTATTTTGAGATTTGTTTTTCAGCACACTTTACTTTAGCGGGAACTGGGTAGGTCTGGGGATTGGTTATAAAATTCAAAGTCTATAGGAAGAACCGGTTACTAATAAATAGCTTGCTTAACTAATTAATAATGTTCTTGAAACTGTATGACCCAAATAACCCTTTCAGAGTATACTTGAGAAATTTTGGCTTCTTTTTAAAAATGTAATTTATCAGCTTTATATGTCAGATTCTACTTTTAATTTTTTTTGAAGGAAAAAAGGGGTGTGGGTGGGGAAAACATAAAAGAGGCAAAATAGCCTCTGTCTAATATTGAGAAAACTGAAGTAGGCAGAATTATTTGAGGCTTAAAAACTTCAGACGCCTAATTTCATAAACAACCTGCAAACAGAACAAAAGCTGAGCAGAACAGCTTTCTCTGTCCCACAAAAATTTAGATAATTCATTAGTAAAACTAATCAAAGACCTTAAAACCCTCATATGTCTTAGTAAGTTTGGCTTAGAAAAGAACCAACATTAAATTATCTTCAACAGAAAAGTCTGTTCTAGTTTCTGTGTGAGAACATGAATGATGAAGATCTTACCTGGAGAAGTCTTTAATCCAGTCATATTGAACATGTAGATGTTGTCATCTGTGCAGTTAGCAAATAAAGTAGAGCCAGTGGAATCCAAAATCAGACTTGAGTATCCTGGAAAAAGGAAACTTTAGTTAGCATGTCCTGATGACAGTAAGTAGAAATGGGGTAAAAATGCTGAGGCCAAGAGATCATTCCACAAGAACCATAAAATTCTTCTCCAAAGTATGTACAAACCAAAAATATTCTTGTTTTTATTTTTTGAACTCCAAAAAAGATACAACCACATATTAGTTTCTCCAGTCTCTGTTGCTGAAAACTAGCTTAATATTTATTTTTATTTTATTATTTTTTTAATCCTCACCTGAGGATATGTTTTTCTTCCATTGATTTTAGAGAGAGAGGGAGGGAGGGAGAGAGAGAGAAAGAGAAACATAGATGTGAGAGAAACATCAACTGGTTTCCTCCTATACATTCCCCGACTAGGGTTCAAACCCACAACCTAGTTATGCTCCCTAACCAGGAATAAAACCCGCTGCCTTCTGGTGCACAGGATGCTGTCCTAACCACCTGAGGCACCCAGCCAGCGCTATTTTTAAATTTTAACAAAAACTTACAGTCCCCCCAAAAAGTCCTACAAAAAAGAAGTCCTATAGTCTATGAAAAGGCTTACCTAGTTTTCGAGTGCTGCTACCTGGGTACAGGAAAGACTTGGAGGCAATGGGTTCTTGTCGATAAGCAGTATAATTCTTACGTAAATCCCATACTTTAATTACTCTAAAACCAAGGTAAAGAAATAGTTATGTTGTAGTCCTTTTCCAACCCCAACCAGTTTCAACTATATTGAACATGAAATGACTTTTAATCTAACTCCTCTGGCACATGAATTAGGTACAGTGAGGGTATCTCATTGGGAAATAGATTGAACTGCCTCATACTCTTGTCTCCAATGTCAGGCTTACAATTCTGGCAGAACGGAAACAGATGTGATATGACCCAGTGATGGGTTACCTTGAGTTTACTTCAAGGGAGCGGAAAAGGAAGATGAAGGTTGGGTGCTGATAGCCATTGTTTCATTGTTTGCAGAAAAAACATTTCCTAAGCTTTTAATACTCTCTATGTAACCTTTGACAGCATAAGTAACAAGCTGTGCCCATATGGTTATATTTCTATATGGAACTCCTTAAGCTAAACATTATTTTCCTGTAAAATAAAGTATTTTTTCATTTCTTCTATTAGGGGTGTCTTAATCCTCTGTATCTAGTTTGCAGACAACTTGAAAACACATTTCAAGTGTAACGGGGCAGTATTCCTGGAAACAAAGAGAGCAAGCTCTCACAACCATTTATGAGCACAACTGATAACCTTTAAATAATGCTTCATTTGTGCCTCAGAATTTGGTCCACAGAAGACTTTTGGTGTCCAGAAAACACAATGGAAATCCTATTAAATCATCATCTTTTTAAACTATGTTTTTTTCAAGGGAAGGATGTCTTGAGAGAGATAATGAGCAAATAAAGGGACAAAGAAGGGTGCGAAAAAAAAGAGAGTCCCTATACTCAACTAGCTATATTCTAACAGAGCAACCAATCAAGAACTACCACAAAATTATCTGGAAGCCAAAAATTCAGACCAATCATGGATGGATATGAATTGAAAGTGATTAGGCCATACTATCAATCTAAAGTACTTCCAGAAATGCCAACTATATGCTCAGAATCAGATTCCTTCTTTTAGGTTATTATTAAACCTGAGAAGATGATATCCAAGATAGTAGAAATTTTACTTCTTAAAGAATAAGTGACTAAGTTATACTGCATGGACAAGCAACTTATCCTTCTATCTTCTCCATAACAGGAGAAGCCAAAACTACTTGTATATGCTAGATAATGTGCTAAGTGTGATATATGTATTATCTCAATTATTTGAGTAACAGTCCTAACTAGATCTTTTCCAGTGTGATCTGCAGGTCATCTTCTCAGCTGGGTATTCCCTATGTTGAAAGTTAAAAGAACACACATTCAATTATAATGGGACTAGGTGACTTCCCCATCACAGTTCATGAAAGAGACCTTATCAAAAGAACTGAGAAATAAAGACTTACCCATCCACAGCTCCTGCTGAGACTAATGTATTCTCATCTTGAAAGAGGACCACAGTAACACTCTGCTGGAAATCCTAACACAAGGAGGAAAAAGAAAGTGAATAAATCCTACTTTGGATATATCAATCTTCACCATGAAGAGACCAAGATGCTAAAATATTTTTTTTTCCTTTCCCAAACTCTGAGTTAGACTAAATCTTCCCTCTCCAATAATCCTTATCAGTGCTGATTAAGAAATAATTTTACTTAGGAAATAACCTAAACATCATTAAGTTATAGTATACAGTGTTAACACTTTGACATACTAAAAAAAAAAAAATATTGGTTATTAAAAGATTTAACTTGTTTAAACCTGCTGGCTCTAAGAATCAGACATATTAATAAACTGCATATCCTTAGGAAACTCATTTAACTTTCCTGTGCCTGTTTCATCTATAAAATGTCACCACCTTTGTAGATTAACAGAGTGTCTAAAGAATTAGGAATGAAAGATGATTACAGGGGGCTTATGGAAAAGATGACGGCATAGATAAACACAGCTCGCTTCCTCACACAACCACATCAAAATTACAATTAAATCGTAGAATAGTCATCACTCAAAACTGTCAGAAATTGAGTGAATGGAAGTCTGACAACTACAGAATTAAAGAAACCATACCTATCCAGACTGGTAGAAGTGGAGGCATGGAATGGGCTGGTCCTACACCCATGAATAAAAATGCAGGAGAAATATCTCAGGAAGGAGGAGTCCCAACCCATACCAGGCACCCAGCCCAGGGTTCCAGTGCCAGGAAGATAAATCTCCACAACTTCTGGCTGTAAAAATCAGTGGAGACTCAGTTGGAGGAAGAAACTGCTAGATTCCCACACAGTTCCTCTTTAAGAACCCACACACAGACTCACCTGCTCAGACTTACTTCTGAACTCTAGCACTGGGGTAGCAGTTCAAAAAGCACCAGTGGCATACAGGGAGGAACTGAAGTGTCTGGCATCAAGGTGGGAGCTGGGGGACAGCTTTCTCCCAGGCAGAAAGACAGGCAGAGGGCATTGTCCCTTCTCTGAACCTTCCCCCAACAGAGCTGCAGAGCCAGCAGGTGGGCGCCGTATCTGAGACTCCATCAATCTGGCTAACACTGTTTGCCTCACAAGCCTAGATTCACAGTTTGGCTTCACCTGGGAATCTCCAAGCCCAGCACAAGTATCAACCATCTCAGATTGCTTTACAGCCCAGGCTGGGTGGCCCCGGGCAAAACACAGGTTGGGGCTGACCTTGGCATGCACCACTTGGAAAATGGCAGAGCCTGTGCACCCAGTTGACAGCTACAGACCACGCCAGAGCACCACCCTGCCCCTGCACAGCTGATACTCCACGGAGGATGGAGGTTGGTGGCCAGTGGCCACAGCCAGTCCTTGCAGCTGATTGACCTGCCAACAGCAATTAAGGCATAACTACAAGAAGGTATAAGCAGTGCACATGAAGGGTGCACCTTGAGTATTCAGCTTGGGTGATAGGTGAGGCTGTGCCACTGGACCCTATAGGACACCTATTATATTAAGCCACACTACCAAGACAAGGAGTCAAGTCAGCTCTACCTAATACATAGAAACAAACACAGGAAGGCTACCAAAAGGAGGAGACAAAGAAACATGGCCCAAAATAAAAAACAGATGAAAACAGAAAAAAAAACTAAACAAAATGGAGATAAGCAATCTATCAGATGCAGAGTTCAAAACACTGGTTATAAGGATGTTTATAGGAACTTAGTGTGGGCCTCAACAGCACAAAAAAAGATCCAGTCAGAAATGAAGAATACACTAATTGAAATAAAGAACAATTTACAGGGAAACAACAGTGGAGTTAATGAAGCCAAGAATCAAATCAATGATTTGGAACATATGGAAGCAAAAAACCACCAATCAGAACAAGAAGTAGAAAAAAAGAATTGAAAAAGACAAGAATAGTGTAAGCAGCCAATGGGACAACTTCAAGCACTCCAACATTTGTATCATAGGGTGACAGAAGAGAAATGGGAAGAAATTGGAAGTCTATTTGAAAAAAATAATGAAAAAAAATCCCTAATTTGGTGAAGGAAATAGACATACAAGTATAGGAAGCACAGAGAGTCCCAAACAAGATGGATGCAAAGAGGCCCATTGCAAGGCACATCATAATTAAAATGCCAAAAGTGAAAATCTTACAAAGCAGCAAGAGAAAACCAGTTAGTTACCTACAATGGAACTTCCAGAAAAACTATCAGCTGATTTCTCAAAAGAAACTTTGCAGGCTAGAAGGGATTGGCAAGAAATATTCAAAGTCACAAAAAGCAGGGACCTACAGCCAAAATACTCTACCCAGCAGATATCATTTAGAAATGGAGGGCAGATAAAGAGCTTCTCAGACGAGAAAAAAACTAAAGGAGTTCATCATCACCAAACCATTGTTGTATGAAATACTAAAGGCACTTATTTAAGAAAAAGATCAAAACTATGAATAAAATGTCAATGAGTACATATGAACAATTGAATCTAAAAAACAAACTAAGCCAATAAGAACACAGAATCATGGATACAGAGAGCATTTTGATGGTTGCAGGATGAGAGGGGGATGTGGAGGAGTGGATGAAGAGGTGAGGGGATTAAGAAGTACAAGTAGGTAGTTACAGAATTGCCATGGGGATGTAAACTACAGTACAGAAAACAGAGTAGCCAAAGAATGTGTATGCATGGCCCATGGACATGACCAATGGTATGGGGATTGCCTGAGGGAAGTGTGCTGGGTAGAGAGGGGCAAAAGGGGAAAAACTGACACAACAATAATAGCATAATCTATAAAATATAACTAAAAAAAAAATGATTGCATGCTCTAAAAAATTTAAAGGTACACAAAGGAGATTTTACCTCCTAAATACTGTTAACAAGTTTCCCTGGCTCAGAATCTGATTAAAGATCTGAAATATTACTCATTTAACTTCATCTGGTCTCTAAAGACCTCAGTCTAACCCTGTCAGTTTCCATTCATGCGTGTCTCATTTACGGTATGCGATTTTAGGTCCTAATGTTTTAGCAACCACACCTCCCCAAAATATTAAGTTGGAACATACAGACTGGGAGTATTAGAAAAATAAACACATTAAAGTAAGAGCAATGGTGACTTATTTTTAAGGGAAAAAAGATGTTTTTTGAGTACCATTTGAACTTTGACTATCAGTTGCCAGATAAGTACTATGAGAAAACAACAGGAATTTTTTCCCAAGAGAAACTGTATTATAGTATCAGGTTGGACAAAAACTCCATTTAGTTTTTTCCATAAAATAAAAGACACATTTTTTATTTTCACCAATAACTTTATTGACTTGGATATTTTGAGTATATTGGCTATTTCCCACTATTAGCTTCTAGTGGGTAGAGAGGCCAAGGATGCTGTTAAACATCTTCCAATGCATGACAGCCCCAAAGTAAAGAATTATTTGGCCACAATGTCAGTGGTACCAAGAAACTTCACAAACCACTTTTGACACATCTGATCAGTCACAGAACCTTCTCCATACACTGCACATATCTTTTTTGTGTTTCAGTTGTGTTTTTACCTTTTCTGAAATAATAAAGTATAATATGCCAAAAGTGTTGTGTATTTTCCTCCAACTTCAATATTAAAATGGATACACAAAAATTCACCATTTTGGTAAGTTTTTTAAAAAAATGCACGCTGATAGGATAGCTTCAACAATACAATGCAACAAAGTTGTTTCAAATTAAGTTAAAGACAACTAAGCACTGCTAGAGCCATCATAAGGAAAACACAAAACAAACTTTTTGCCAACCCAAAACTTTAAATATACTTCTCCAAACTACTCCCCCTCTCTTAGTGAATCACATTATGCTACAGATAGTGCACGCATGAGACCCCTAAGGATGAGGCTCATGAAGCTGAATTTTTAACATGTCCCCCAGCTTCCTCTGTTGCACGTTAGGTATTAAACACCACTCCTGTAGGTGTTGAATTAAAAGTAAGCAACAAACCCACTCATATTAGAGGAAATGAAGATTCTATCCTGCTGTTGAGATCTGCACACATGTATATAGTTATAAAACCTTACCACAGAAGGGGCAAGTCCTTTTGAATTCTGTTTCTTCTTAGGTTTTGAAGGGGTTTGCTTGTCTAAGGTGTTGTGAGCACCACTGATTTGATTCACTTGCCTATAAAATCCATCTGAAAGATATTCCAAGGAAATTTAGTTTTCAGAACTTTATTCCTATGCTAAATGTAACATTTATATAAATAAAATCTCTTTATTAGTGAAATTAGAAAACAACAGTGTTACCACACTATATCTTTTATGGTGAGATTATAATGCATAAAAAAGAAATAAGCACACAGATGTTTATAGCAGCTTTATTCATAATTGCCCAAACTTGGAAATAACCAAGACATCCTTTAGTAGGTAAATGTATGAATAAACTGGTACATCCAGATAATGACATATATTCAGTGCTACAAAGAAGTGAGCTACCTAGACATAAAAAGTCATGGAAGAACCTTAAAAGCATATTACTAAGTAAGAAAAGCCAATCTGAAAAGACTGCATACTGTCATTATATGACTTTCTGGGAAAGGTAAAACCATGGAGACAATATAAAAATCAGTGGTTGCCAGGGATTAGGGAGAGGACGGGATTAATAGGTGGTGCACAGGGTATTTTTAGAGCAGTGAAACTATCCTGTATGATACTACAATGTAATAGCAGGTACATATCGTTATTTACTTGTTGAAACCAATAGAATACACAATACTAAGAGTGAAACCTAATGTAAAGTACAGATAGGCTTTGGGTGATAGTGGTGTTATCAATAGAGGTTCATCAGCTGTAGCAAATGTCCAACTCTGGTGCAAGATGTTATTAGTGGGAGAGGCTTATGAGGATGGGGTATACCAGTATAGAGAGAAGTCTCTATACTTTCTGCTCAATTTTGCTGTGTATATAAAACGGCTTTAAAAAAAGTCTTAAAAAAAAATTTTTTTTTTTTTTAAAGGAAATAAGCAGAGAGATGATCACTAGTTTCTGCTTAATGGCATCATTGGGCACAGTAAGCATATTTATATTTAATCTAATCCTTTAAAGCCAAAAAAATTATAAATTAAAAGATCATTTACCAATTAGCCTATTAATTAATAATTTCAATTCCATCAATCACTTAGGTGAACAGCATTATAGTGCAGAAGACAATACGAGGTAAATACAGAGGGCAATACTTGTAACAATCACTAAAATCATGAGAATTAGAACAGTAAGCAGAAATGAAGAATTATGAACAAGTGCCCCCTCGTGGTTAACATATGAAATGAATGAAACTTTCATTCAAAATAATCAAGTATGGGGACAGACCACAGTCATCAAAATTAAAATGAAACTAGACTACCTTTTTTGTTGCACCTGGTGTCCCAGACCATAATGTTGCCATCTCTTCCACCTGTACAGAAGACAGCTGTGGGGAAACAGTTTATCAAAAAGTTAACAGAACTAATCAATGACATATACATTTCAATTTAAGTTTCCTAGAGTATCTGTTACATGCTAGGGTCTATAACTGGAACTGGAGATTAAAAATCTAAAATATATGGCTCATCAACAAATAAGAGAAAACAAAGTGGGAAGAGAAAGTATTACAAAAAACTCAAAACACTTACATTGAACAAAAACTTTATAAAATAATCCTTGTGTAAATTTTCTTAAAACCACATAAAACACTATACATAAACACACACACAAGAATAATGATAAAACAGCAATTAAAGAAAATACATTGAGTGCTTACTAAGTGCTATACACTCTCATGCCCTATGTAAATTACCTCAATCCTTGTTGTCAACCCTATTAGGTGGGTATTACTATCCCCATTTTACAGATGAGAAAACTAAGGTACAGAGAAGATAAGTAAACTGTAAAGGTATTCTTGACAGTATGAATCCAGAATCCATACTCCAAACCTCCAAGCTGTACCGTCTCAGTATAAAATTATGGACCAGATCCATACAAAATCTGTGAAAGGGGTTTCCTCTGGGGATGAAAGGAAGGCAACGGGATTGGAGAAGAAACACAGAACTTCAATTTATCTGTGATGTTCTATTCTTTAATATTAAACCCAAACAACTCTGCTTCCTGTATGAAAGAGTGGACACTTACCAAACCAATCCACATGCATAACTTTTAAACTCTGGAAAAAAATATAAAAAATGATCTGAGGGCTCTATAGAGACTGAACAAAAACATGCAATTTTTGGAGAAGAGTCAACTGAAGCCAAATGATTGGCTTGGGGGAAGTTACTGTTCTTCTATGGTTTTATCTCGAGGGTAGCCACAGTTGCAAGCAGCTAAAATGCCAATAGAAACACCTGCTGTCTTTCAAATCAGAAAAATTAGGAAAAGGAGATGTGGGGCAACAAGTGCTGCCAGAGTGAGGGGGGAACCCTAGAGAAAGCAAGACAAAGGGAGACCCTAATTCTGTGTTTAAACTCAATGCAAGTCTCTGGCTGACCCAGAACCATCTTTGAAGGGGAAACCTGAAAGCAGCTTTCAACTAAGACTTAAATTACTGAACAGAATTGAGATCGAACCCACTGCCCTCTTGCAGGTTTTATAGTCTGCAACTTGATTCTAACTCAGTTAATTGCTTGTTAAAAACATCAATTTTTTTCTAAGCAAATAACAGAATCCAGAGTCCAACACACCATTCACAGTGCCCAGGATATAACCTAAATTATTTGACATATAAAGAATGAGGAAAATGATGGAAAAGAAATCAGTACAGGCCAATCTTGAAACAACTCAGATGCTGCTTTATCAGATAAAATTGTAAAGCAAATGTACATTAAGAAATTGACATTTACAATCAATGAAACATGAGAAATCTCAATAGAGACAGAACTTACCAAAAAAAAAAAAAAAAAAGAAATTTTAGAACAACAAAAAAACCCACAATTTCTGAAATGACAAAATTCAACAAATAGGCTTAAGAGCAGAATGAAGAGAAGAGAGGAAAAGTTAGTTAACTTGGAGACCAAGCGAAAGAAACCAGTCACAAAAAGGCTATGTATTGTATAGTTCCTTTTATATGAATGCACAGAATAGGCAAATTATGGAGGCAGAAAGTAGTTTAGATTGTGAAGGGCTAGGAGGGAGATGGAAGGTACTGCTAATGGTTTCTATCTTCTTTCTGGGAAGATGAAAATGTTCTAAACTTAGACTGGTGATGGCTGTACAACCCTACAAGTAAATCAAAAACCATTGAAATGTACAATTCAAATGAGTGAATTTTATGGTATGTTAAATTATATCTCAAATTTAAGAATATTGAAAAAATAAACAAAGCCTCACATCCACAATTCTCTCTCTAAAATCAATAAAAGCATCTTTTGGTGAGGACAATAAATAAATAAATAAATAAATAAATAAATACTATGCCATGTTTCCTCTTGAAGGTTTCAGTCTCAACAGCAACTACAATACATTAAAATAGACCTTCTTCTGAGTTTAAACAGCCCAGCAACTCAGTTCCTGAGTGTTCAATTGAATAAGTGAAACTATTCCTTTTAAAAATAATTTTTTTAAATGATAAAGGAGGTCTCTAATATTCTGAGATTAAAGTTAGATTAATCCAACTACTTCTTTGAAAGTTTCTCAGTCTATTTGTAAAAAAATTATTTAAGTGAGAAATAAATGGAGCAAAAAAGCAAAAAAATAAAAAATGAAGAGCTCATTCTGACACCCCTGCAAAGTTTTTCTCTAGCTCATATAGTAGTGTTCTGTATTATATAGTCTTCGTTCTGCATTATAATAGTAAAATAAATATAGAAAGATCAATTTTGAGTTGAAAACATACTAGGGAATAGAGCCATTTAAAGTAATTAAATTGCACGGTAAATTGTTAGGTAGAGAATTATGTTTAGTTTACAGGTTTCCCATCCCAGCCTCAAATTCTATTTCAATTTTACAAGTAGAGTCAAAGTAACTATTTTACAAGTAGAGTTAATCAGTGTCCAGAACAGGGTTTCGACTTCAAAGGACACTCAGAGTTGAACAGAGGTATTGTGGCTGTTAATAAATCTTCACATTATCAGCAAGATTAGAGAAAAAAAATTACCTGAAGATGTTTGACTTTCAGGGACAAGCTAGAGATAATGTCCATAAGAATCAGACTAAAGCCCATCTTAATTTCATGTAGGTTTTCAGTCATATTAGAACCTCAATCACCTCTGTAGGTAAAGTAGCAACTTTCAAAGTAGAAAAGGTGGAAACAATTGCAGTATCTTATGACCCTATTGTAAAAGGGGTTAAAGAGACAAAAGAGGATAGGCACAAACCTACCTTTCTCAAACTTAGAAAAGGCAACCGACTTGAGGCTGCACTGATGACCTTTGCATGTTCCAAGCAGCTCACCAGCTTTTACATCCCAAAATTTGGCTGATTGATCACCTGCTGCTGTAACCTTTAAAAAACATATTATTATAATTTAATAAAGCAACCCTTTATCAGTATCTACTCAAATTCCAATAAAATGAAAATCACTTACAAGTTTAAGTTCACCTGGAACCCAAGCCAGGTCAAAGACAGCATTCCAGTGAGCCATCCATTCTAAACAAAGAAAATGGTGAATGTGAAATGTCTAGACAATGTTCTGTGGTAGTCATAGCCAAAGAAGTTTAAAGGCCTTAAAAGCAGTATTGAAAAGATCAGTGGTCAGCACCCTATGGTCCATTGGCCAAAGAGTATTACAAAGGAAAAGGAAGATTTAAAGAACTTACATTGGATATCAAATCCCTTTCCATGAGGTGACTAGTAATATATTCTATAAAATGGAATTTTTCTGAAACATTTTCCAGTTCAAAAATCACCATTCTGCTTTCTGAAGAGAGTCTAAAGTACTTGGACATTCAAGGTTCTGCACATTTTGCCCTTCATCGCGGTCATTTTGTCCCTTTTATTACTGTTACTTTGTCCTTTATCTCTTACTGTCAAACCAAACTGGATCACTATTTCCTTATTCTATATTATTCTTTCTTATCTCTAGACTTTTGCTAATGCTGTCCCCTCCACCTGGAGTGTCCTACACCATCTCCACTGATCTAGATACCACAGTCCAATTCAAATGTCCTACCCTCTATAAAAAATTTCCTCCTCTTCTCCAGTACGTAAGATAGCTTTCTCTTTGACTTCTATAGCATTTTCTTAGTATGTTTCTATCATTAATAGTCTTTGTTTTATCTTAGTTATTTCAACAGTTGACTTACTAGTTCCAAATTGTCAGCTTCTTAAGGTCAGTAGAACTTTGTCAAAGTTCTATATGTGAAAGATAGTTGGTCAATATAAATATTTTAAAGCACTGTTTCTCCCAACCACATTAAGTGTAAAAGATTTAACCTTTTTAAAAGAAGAACTGTTTTTAATCCTAAAATGTATTTTCCTTATTTTTCAATAAAGTCATTGCCATAGTTAACATTTATTGACAGAAAACAGCCTGGTCCTTAAACAGACTTAATCAGAAGTAAATACAACTGGAAATGTAGTCAAATGATAATTTACTCAAGGGTTTACAAATTAAAAATTTTGAAACTTTAGACTTACCTTTAACACACTTCTTTCTATAGGTTTGTGATTCTGTGTTATATAATCTAACAAACCCTTCTTCATTGGCAACTGCTAGTATGTGTTTCATATTGGGAGCTAAATAAGAAATAAAGAACAGAATATATAAAGAGTAACAAAAAATTTTAAGCTGATTATAAAGACATATATGTAAATATATAACCTATATATAACATAGATTAATTGTAAGCTATTAGGTAAACACAAAGACTTTTTTAAAAGAGGGAAGATGATTCTACTCAAATGGCATCTGATATGGTAGAGAGGTAATTTAAAGTAAAAATTGCTTAAAATTTGTCATATTAACTTAGTAAACGACTCAAAACCATCAAAATTGTATCTTCAGATAACCTCTTATTTAGAGAAGCAATGAATAAAAGGGTGGTACTTAGAACAAGAGTGGTACTGACCAATGGCAAATAAAGTCATATGACATAGACCACCAGCAGGCTGAGTCTATTAGTTTAAAATTCCCTTTGCATAATATTTTACTTTTCCTGTTTTAGAATATTAACAGTGGTAACAAGTATTTTCATTACTGTTCATTTGTTCCCCAATGCATTACAGAAAGATAGATTCACTCAGATCAAAAGTGTTATCTACTGAGCAAAACACTTTTCATGATGGCTGAACCTTTGTAAACTTTTCCCTGCATCGGTTTTTATAATGCTATAATGGTCCTGTGCTTTAGAGGAAATATATAATTATGCATAGAGATTAAGAAAAGTGTACTTCATAAATCAGGAAGAACAGTTCTTAGAAAAACTCTGCTACCTATTTTACTTTTTTTTTTTAAAGGGAGACATCTGTATATTTTTCCTCTAAGTGTGAAATAGATCATTTTTGACCAAGCCTAGCTAGACATTAATTTTCTTACCAGAAGAAAAGGTGCATCCAAAAGGGGGAACTGGGACTCCTGTTTCTCCGTAAGAAGTGTGCTCATCATTAGAGTTGCACTGATAACCAGTTAGTAGGGACTGTAGAGGGTACTGTGAAGACCATCCTAAAATAAGATACAATTCCTTATAGAATTCCAATATATCATCACATTTTAGTACTTTTAACAAATGCAGAAGTAAGTATGTGTTTTAAAAGACTTTATATACTTAATATAAACCTACTCTCTTTCTATGGTCCTCTAGGATACAGTTTTTGGTATTTTACTAAGGAAGAATAAAAGAATGCTCCCAAATTCTGGTCAAGTATGTATAACCCTGGGCTTACCATCTAAATGGAGACTCGCTAGTACACTTAAGTACACTTAATATGCCTTTGTATATTAAAAAAGATTTTAACTCTTCCCCCACCATTTGGTCATGACCACAACCATTAAAACTGCCATTCTCTTCAATTAAAATTTTGATTTTAGAGTTTCTAATGCAACATTATTGTAAACTCTTAAGTTATTAGCAACGTCATATAAAATCCAAATGTCATAAAGTTAAAGGAAATAACTTATGTCAGTGTGCCTACTGTAGCCACTAACATTCACAAGTTGATAGCCCTGGCAAGTAGTAGGGTCGGAAAGTCTTTAAAGGAGGTGAAATCAAACATAAGTTGTGAAAGATAAGCGATTCATTGAATACACAAGAGACGGGAAGACATTCAAGGTGGCAGAAAATTTATTCTGCTTGGGTCAGAAACCTAATGCGTACTATGGTCTAAAAAGTAAGCCATCTTCAAAAATTAATCATTTTCATATGAGTCAAAACATTTTAATATTATAAAAAGAACACTGACTTAATAAAGTTATTGAGAACCAAATGTTTATTAAGTATAGCAGAAAATAAGCTGCAATCTATTGAGATCTGTCTAAATAATGAACAAACTCACATTTTAGGGTACTTCCTTTTTTTAAATTTTTTTTACTTTATTTTTTAATTTATAAATCATGTTTATTCTATTACAATTGTCTCTATTTTTCCCCCTTTACCTCACTCCCTCATCCCACCCCCACTCCCCACTCCCACTTTGTTGTCCATGTCCATGGGTCATTCATACATGTTCTTTGTCTAGTCCTTTCCCCTTCTTTCCACTATTGTCCTCTTTCTCCCTCCCCACTGGTCACTTTCAGTCTGCTCCATGTTTCCATGCCTGTGGTTTATTTTGTTCATTAGTTTATTTTGTTGAATAGAGTCCACTTATAGGTGAGATCATAGAGTATTTCCTTCATCAACTGGCTTACTTCATTTAGCTTAATATTCTCCAGTTTTATCCATGTTGTCACAAAAGGTAGCAGTACCACCTCTCTCTCTTTCTTAAATGCAGATCGATCTTATTTTTTAAATGTCAAAAGTTAATTATATTAAAAAATTTTAAAACCCTTATAAAGTCTCAGCAATTAAACCAACATGACACCAACACAGAAATAATCAAGTATATCAATGAAATATAATGAACATTCTAGAGACAAACGTATATATCTGTCTAACAATGTACCTTATTCATTACTGTTCAACAAATAAGGTACGTATATATCTGTCTAACAATGTACCTTATTCATTACTGTTCAACAAATAAGGTACAATATATAATTCATTACTTATTCAACAAATAAGGTACATGGATCACTATTACTTGAAATAAAACAAATATTAAGCCCTATTTCACACATTATACAAGAAATATTCAGGTGAGTTAAAAATCAATATGTAGAATCTAAGGAGCTTTCAGAGAAAAGACAAACTAATATTTTTCATGACCTGAAGTAAAATATTCAACCCCAGAGGCTATAAAGTAAATACTGACAATATGACTATATTAAACATTTAACTATATAGTAATCTACATATAAAAATAGTTAAAGGACCAGGAATAGAACAGAAAAGTATTTGCAACATATCTAAAACATGGTTAATAGGTGTTTTTTTTTTTGAAAAAAAGTTCTACAAACCTTTAATCAATAAATGGGTACAGAATACCAAAAAGTCATTGAAAGCTTTTTTTAAAAAAACAGAAATAGGCAAGAAATATACTAAAACAGGTTTAATTTCAACAAATAATAAAGGAACAATTAAAATAACATCATTGTCACGATCAGATTAACGAGTATTAAAAATATTGGTAATATCAAGTATTGGCAATTCTGAAAGGAACAGGGTATTCATAGAAACTTTTTCTTCATCTTAAAGCAGTCCCTTTAGCATATTTTGGAGTGCTGGTTTGGTGGAGGTGTAGTCTTTTAGCCTTCTTTTGTCAGGGAAACTCCTTATTTTGCCTTGCATTTTAATTGAGAGCCTTGCTGGGTAGAGCAGTCTTGGTTGCAGGCCTGTGCTTTTCATGACTTGGAATATTTCTTGCCACTCCCTACTGGCTTGCAGGGTTTCTGTTCAGAAGTCAGCTGCTAGCCGAGCCAGCCTCCCTTGTATATTACTACCTCTTTCTGCCTTGCTGCCTTTAAGATTCTCTGTTTGTCTTTGATATTTGCCATTTTAATGATGATGTGTTTTAATGATATGTGCCTCATTGTGTTCCTCTTGAATGGGACCCTCTGTGTGGGGAAGTTTTTCATCATTACTTTTTCAAACAGGTTCTCTATCCCTTCCTCATTCTCTTCTCCTTCTGGTATCCCTATTATCTGGATATTATTATATTTCAGATTGTCCTGCATTTCCCTAAATGCCTCTTCATTCTTTTTGAGTCTTTTTTTATTTTCTTGCTCTTTCTGGGAACTTTTTTCTACCTTGTCCTCCAGCTCGCTGATTCAGTCCTCAGCTTCATCTAGCCTGCTTTGGATTCCTTCTACTGTGTTCAATTCAGAAATTGTATTCTTCATTTCCTCTCATCTCTTCTTGATAGTTTCTACGTCCTTTTTCATGCTGATATAGTCTGCATTAAGTTCCTCGTAGTTTCCCTGTAGTTTTTGGTAATTCTCTCTGAGCTCACTGAGCTTCCTTAGAACCATTGTTTGGAACCCAATATCTGATAGTTTACTTGCCTCTATTTCATTTAGTTCTCTTTGTGGGGATTCCTCCTTTCCCTTCGAGTGGGGCATATTTCTTTGTCTTCCCATTATTTGTGAGACTCCTCTCTGTTGCTTCTGCTTCTTAAACTGATCTGTCTTGATTTCCTGACTTTGTGGTGTGAACTTCTATGGTTGGAGACCACTGTTTTTACTTTCTGGATCTGCCTCTGATGATGTCAGCTGTTAACCCTGTCTGACCTTAGGCAGCCTGTTCAAGACTTCCAGGAATCTACTGTTTGTGGCTGTCTCCTTCAGCTGTTAATCTATTCTCTCTGCACTCAGCAGGCCACCTTAGACAGCTCAGGGCAGGGTGGAGTCCCTCCTGGGGGCAGGGTTATTGGGTCCTTTCACGCTGCTGCCATATGGGGGAGTTGTTCACACTTGGATCCCACCAGCTACTCTCAGTTTTCTCCCCAACGCCTCCGTCCCCAGTCTCTCTTCAAGTGTCACCAGACCTCTCTGTGCCCCCTTTTGCCAGGGATTTACTGTTTGTGGCTGCTGCTCTGCACTCAGCAGACAGCTTAGACAGCAAGGGGCAAGGTGGAATCCCACCTAAGGGCAGAACTATTCTGTCCTTTGACGCAGGTGCCCCTGCCGCTCAGGGGGCGTGGTCTCTGCCTGAGCAAGATGGCTGCTGCCACATGAGGTGGGAGTCAGCACTGAGATCCTGCAGGCTACTCTCTCAGTTCTCTCCCCAAAGCCTCCTTCCCCAGTCTCTCCTGAGGCATCTCTAGCCCACTCTGCCCCTGCCTTTGCCAGAGACCAGGGTAAGTGGCTGCAAATAAAACTTTTGCGTTGGCCCTTTAAACAGTTCTTTGGGTCTCCAGCCACCTGTCTCTGGCAGAGAGCAACCCTGCCACTTTTCACAGCTGTCCGTTTTCTGTGTACTTTTTGGGCTCTGGTGCTATGAGCTAGAGATCCCCACTTTTGCTTTCGACTCCACTCTTCTCGGGGGGATCCAACTGGCCGTTTCAATATCCTTCTGGTGCTGCCACCCATGGGCACCCCACTCGCCTTCTCAGGTCTGTACCGCACTCCTTACCAAGTTAGATTGAGCTAATGCCAATTCTTCTGTCTCCGAGGTGACAAGGCTCCTCTCTCACTATTGTTCAGTTGTTTGTTCCAGGTGATTTCTCCCCAATTTAGTTGTAATTCCAGGTTGGTCCTGGGAGGAGGTCTGTGTGACTTCCACTCACTCCTCCGCCATCTTGATTCCTATTCATTTTTTGAGTACTTTTGATTCTCACTTTCCATCAAACAAGCAAGTAAATAAACAAACAGACACAATTCCCAGTCAGGGCACAAGCCTAGATTGTGGAACAGGCAGCCAATTGATGTTTCTCTTGCACATTCATGTTTCTCTCCCTCGCTTGCTTTCTCCCATCCCCCTTCTCTAAAAATAAATAAAATATTTGAAGAAGTTAAAAACTAAAACAAAGCCTCTGTTCTAGAGTTACATAAATGTACACTTGTGGTTTGGGATTTTTAAAAAAATATAATGACTGCAACCCATAAATTCAAAAGAACTGAGTCTTGAACAATTTAGGTGGAATTAATGATGATACGTATGTTAGAGAAACCTAATTCTTTACAATTAAACAGTGATCCTCTCACCTCTGCCTTATCACCTATAGACTAATATCCAAACACTAACAAATGGACTCACATGACTTAGTAACTAGTTAGTCCCCTCCATTTCTGTACTCCCCACAACACACATTTCTTGGACCAGCCCCTTAAACTACTTTTGGATTCTTATTGTGCTTTGCTGTTTCCAACATGAACTTGTAATGCTTTCCCTCACAACACTCATTATATATATTCAATATATAATTTAAAATTACATGCAGATTTTTCAAGGAGTACCTGAGGACATGAGTTTTCAGAGAATCAAGTTTGTGATATTCAAATTCCATCTATATGCATTTTTAACACTGATTTGTCTGAAAAAGTTGAGTTTTTTTCTCATCTCCCTTCATCACCGCCTTTCTTCTGCTCTCAAAAGAAAGGCATTTCCATGCCCCAGTCTTACACTTTGCGTTGACACAAAGTATAAAAACTACTGTGACCCCAAATTAAAGACAACTGAATATTTCCTTTAATAATTAGGCACAAAACACCCATATCCATCGTTTGAAAAGATATACTTCCAATAAAATTTTACTTTTTGCTAAGTAATTATTGACATTAATAATATATATTATTTTGATTAACTGCATACTAATAACTTCAATAATTCAATCCAGAAAAACTTTTAACACTTAGAGCCTTAGGATTAGATAATATCAATTAAAATTTTTTACACAGGAGTACAATAGGGTTATTAATCAACTTTTCAAGTTTTAAAACCAAATTACATTAAGCAACTATGCAGAATATGTAACAGTTAAAATAATTAGTTCATATTTTTAAAAAATGACTGATGTGGTTATCAAATCACTATAGCATTTACAGTACTAGATGCATTTTAAGAAAGTAATGCAGTATTTTTATTTTAAAATGTCAATATTCACAATATGGCCAGAAATTAAACCTTCATATTTGTTTAAACGTATGATAAAATTTTTAGATCCCAAAGATTCTTCTTTGTAAAAATACAAAGAAGAACAATCAGATTTCCACCCTAGAAAGATCATTGGCAGCAATGTGGAGAATAAACCTGAGAAAGGGGAACTAAGAGGCCACTTGAGAAACTTGTTACAGTCCAGACCAGGAGATCATCAGGGCCCAACCCTAAGGAAATGTAATGGTAGGCAAGGAAGAGATCTAAGATATGGTGAAGTGGCAAAATCAGTAGGGAAAGAGAGGACAGAGTTAAGAGATTTTAAGAAAACTTTCAGTATGTATATCTTGAGGAAAATTTCCCATTTTCCACCTTCTTAGACCACACACAAGAATAAGCTAAAAATGGATTTAAGACTTAAATATCACACTCTATAAAACCATAAAAATCCCAGAAGAAAACATAGGCAGTAAAATCTTGGACATTGCTCATAGCATTATTTTATCTGCTACATCTCCTCAGACAAGGGAAACAAACAAACAAAAAATAAACAAATGGGACCACATCAAACTAAAAAGTTCTTGCACAGCAAAGGAGACTATCAACAAAACAAAAAGATAGCCCACATAATGGGAGAACATATTTGCCCATACCTCTGATAAAGGGTTAATGTCCAAAATTTATAAAGAACTTAACAAAACTCAACACCAAAAACACCAATCCAATTAAAAAATGGGCAAAGGGCCTGAACAGACACTTCTCCAAAGAGGGCATACAGATGGCCAATAAACATATGAAAAGATGCTCAACATAATTATCAGAATATGCAAATTAAACCCACAATGAGATATCACCTCATACCTGTCAGAAGGGCTATCATCAATAAATCAACAAACAACAAGTGCTGGCCAGGATGTGGAGAAAGGGGAACCTTTTTGCACTGTTGATGGGAATGTGCATTGGTGCAACCACTATGGAAAGCAGTATGGAGATACCTCAAAAAATTAAAAATGGATCTGTCTTTTGATCCAGCAATTTCACTTCTGGGAATATATCCAAAGAAACCCAAAACACTAATTCAAAATAATATAAGCACCCCTATGTTCATGGCAGCATTATTTACAATCACCAAGATAATGGACGCAGCCCAAGTGTCCATTAGTAGGGGAGTGGATAAAGCAACTATGAGAATATTTACACAATGGAATACTACTCTGCGGCAAAAAGCAGAAAATTTTACCCTTTGTGACAGCATGAATGGACCTGGAGAATATTATTCTAAGTCAAACAAGCCAGTCAGAGAAAGACAAATACCTTATGATTTCAATCATACGTGGAATCCAACGAACAAACTGAACTAACAATCAAAACAGACAGACTCATAGAGAGCAGGAAGACAGCTCTGAGGGGTAGGGTTAGAGGGTGGAGGGACTGAGCAAAAAGGAAAAAGGACTCATGGACATGGACAACAGTGTGGTGATTGTGGGGCCTGGGAGAGGGTAAAACAAGATTTTAAGAATACTTTCTGGATGTGTATCTTGAAAATGGGAAAATTCTGATTTAACTCTTAGGTTTCTGGCTGGGAAGACTAAGTTTAAAATAATGGAATCACAGCCAAAATTAGGTAATAGAGCAAGTTTGGGGGAAAAGGGAATTCAGTTCTGGTATTTCAGTTTGAGGTGCCTGTGGGACTGACCATCTATCTAGGTTAAGATACTCATACAGGACTGGATGTAAAAGTCTAGACAAGGAAGGTTGCAAGTGGTAGTGGAGGAAGCCCTGAGTAAGACTATGACCATCAATGGGAGTACATGGAATGAGAAAAGGGGCCTTGGAGGGAACACCAACATGGAAGGGGAAAGGAGAGGACGGTCCTGTAATGTTCAGTGCGCAATACAGAAGAATGAATGAATTTCAGAGTCTTTAACATATAAAGATGGAGAACACATGATTGGACGGATAGATTGGAGGATTAGAAGAAAATGTGTTAGAAAATCAAGGCTAAATAGCTTGCCCCAGGTCACACGGGTAGTAAGGAGTGGAGCTGTATTTAAAACTCAGGCATTTTATCTCCAAAACCACAGCTCTTAACCACTGCATTGTATTGCTACCCAGGACACAGAGAATAGAGAAGTTACTCAAGGAAGGTCCCAGGGGAGACAGAAAGAGAGGATATTTAAGGCATGATTTAAAAGATTATCTAAGAGGAAAGTAGGTAAGGATGTTATAAAGTTTTAGAATGGGGGCAGGAAGTTGAGGGACTACTCAGTCTCAATATCCTTTTCCTAGATCAACGATTTTCAACTTTTTCATCTCATGGTACACATAAACCAATTACTAAAATTCTGCAGCACACCCCAAATATGTTTTTTGCTGATCTGACAAAAAATAGATATAATTTTGATTCATTCACACCGGATGGCTATTGTTGTGTTGGCTGCTGTCATTTCCTTATTTGACAATCTAAGGGAAAAGAGGTCAGTGCCCTTGACTAAATAGTCAGGTATTGCATATTTTAAAAATTCTTGTGGCACACCGGTTGAAACTTGCTGTCCTAGACCTACTTCTTAAATATAAAAAGTTCCCTTCTCAGATTCCCTTTTTGTTTTCCACCTGGCTTTAAGGAGAAGGAAGACCTATCCATCTTTAAATAAATAAAACTGCATTCTATCCAGGCTTAGTCTGTGTAGTTACTCCCTTATCAGAAAGTTTCAGGTCAATGACACCCAAACCTAAGCTCAAAATTCCTTATTGTCAATGTTTAACTTAAGGAACCTCAAGAACTGTAGAGAATAAGTAGGATTTTTACATACTAATATGGAAATGTTCCCAAACGACACCGTTAAAGTGAATAACAAAACATTTTTATATCATTTCTGTAAATAACAATACCACCACCTCTGGCATTGAAAAACATTTGAAAAAATATACTTCGACCTATTTAACAGTGGTCATCTCTGGGGGGTGTGATTATGGACACTTTTCACTCTACAATTTCATATTTTTGTGTATATTAAGTAATCAGAGGGGAAAAATCATTTTGACCATGCTGGAAGCAGATGTTCTGTCTCCTCTGCATGACTGAGTTCGTTAACTGCGGGTTAGATTCACTGGTGTCAAATAGAGTGGGGCTCACTAAGATTTTACAAGTTAATATATAAATACGAATCTCCTCGATCTCACATAACTGTCGAGAGAACCACACTAGCACACAAATGCACGCGTTTTCTAGTTAAAGTGTAATTCATAAGCCGTAAAGGAAGCCATTTAAGTCCATTTCCTTTCCTCCGCCAGCCTACATTACAGTTTTAGAAATCCAGACTACGATTAAAAGTGTCCCGAGGGCATGAAAGTTCAGTTTTCTTTAGTCGTCTTTGCTAACACGAAATCACTCTGGCCGTAAGAGAACTTGGGGGCTGGGAAACGACTGGAGTCGGCCTTGGTCCGAGGTGTGGTTTCGGGGGAGGCGAATCCCGCCAGCAACAAGCAGCGGTTAGGGCCGTTACTCACCATTTCTCGGGACGCCAAACTGGGGCTGTCGGAGAACCGAATTGAAGAGCATCTGGGCCAGGGGAAAAGGCTCAACTGAGGGAAAATGTCGTAGGAATGTCACCAGGTTCAGCAGAAGTCGTGGCTTGCGTCCTTCTCAAGAGGACTAGTTATAGCCTCCAACTCCCGCCACTGTAAGCCCCGGCCACCAAACTCCCCGCCAAACTGACGTCACGCCCTCTGATTGGCTCCTACCGTCACTTCCCCCTCCAATCCCCGCCTCCTTTTCTCCCAGCCGCGGGAACCTGAGTTCAAGAGATCACTGAGCGCCTGCGCAGGGGGCCGTAGAAGAGCTAGCGAACGGCGGGGTGACCAGGACGCATGCGTAACACGGCTTGACAGAGCGCGGAGGAAAAATCCGCGAGGTGGTGGAAGAAGATGGCGGTGTTGGGATAGAGTTTGCAATCTTTCTGAATAGGCTAGCCGAGTAACTTATTCGGGTCATGGCGTCAAACTCAACTAAATCTTTCCTGGCAGATGCCGGCTATGGCGAACAGGAGCTGGATGCTAACTCTGCCCTTATGGAATTAGACAAAGGTACTGGAAAGAGCGGGCTGAGTGGCTGTCGGGGGAAGTGGCGCCACCAGGCGGAGGTAGCCTCGGGAAGGCGGGGAAGGCGCATGCGCACAGCTTCCCTTGCCGGGCGCTTGTGCGTTTGGTGAGTCTGGGAGATTGCAGGGAAATTGCCGCGTCTCTGGATTGGCCTTGGACTAGTCAAACAAGAAGCGCGGTCTGATGATAGTCCCGCCCCGACCACTTAGGGGCACAGGATCTCGGTTTTCCGAGCAGTTTTTAAAAATGCTTCATTGAAATTGTGAAATTATTTTTCAGAACGCTCAATTGAGACCAGGTTTTCACCAAGAGAGGTGAATAATAACCTTGCACCGACTTTATAAGGATTTATTTGAGTTCTGTAACTCTGTTAGTTGCCGGGTACTAGACAGGTTAAGTACAGCCGAGAGCACACGAAAACCATCCCCTGTCCATTTTCTGCAGAGAATTACACTAGTTCTGTTTCCTTATAGGGGCGAGGAATGAGCAGTTGGTGTAGTAGAAGTTGGGGCGAGCTTTGGAGTTAGGTTGAGTTGAATTCCAGTTTCACTAATTTTATAATCACGGACAAGTCACCTAACGGGGTTTTTTCGTCTGCAAAGTGGGCACAGTATCATTGAGCTGGCAAGATTGTTGTAAATATGAATATGGAGACAAGACCTGATACTTGTCAGTACAGAACTCAGGTATTAAAATGAAATCTTTGTTTCTGTGTACTTCAACGATTTTTATTGAATGGGGAAGACATTTTGTCACCTGCTATACAGTAAATTCTTGATTAACTGTAGCAAATGGACAGTGTATTGAGAACTGGACTAAGGGTTAGAAGGATCTAATTTAAGTCCACTTTGAGCCATTTCACATCTCTAACTTGGACACCCTATTAAACTTTTGGGGGCCTTGCTTTGTTTTGTTTGATTCTTTTTTAACCTGTGAACATTTCTAGTGGGTTGGTCTAGATAAGGGTTTCTCAGACTTTTAAAAAAGCCTTTAACTCCTTTTGATCAAAAAAATCACAACACTCCAATTTGACATTCCTTTGATTGAGTCACAGGATCTTTAGTGCATCCTCATCAGTCAATATAAGCCTTGCTTTTTCTTGCCAAAGCTATAGGGCTTTTACCCTCTGAAGTAAAAATGATAACATTAAATGTGTTTTTTAAACACTACATAATCTTTTCCTCACCATTCTGGTAATTCCTTGCTTATTCCCTTCTGAGAGTTGCAGGCCCAGATATATAACATTCTTTACCAGTTCTAAAGACAAATATTTAATCCTCCCAGCAGTGTCCTGGGTATTTTACAGATGTCTCAGGCTCAGAAAGATAATTTGAAAAGACAAGAACAAAACTTGTTCTTTTTCACCTCCCATGCTATACCTTTTAAAACTGTTAAGAAATTAGATTCTGCAAATAGCTGATTACTAGAGAGTTTTAAATCTGAGTCATTTCATCCTTTACCTTTTAAGGTATTTCTGTTTTGTGAGCCAAAGGTCATAGGGTCAGAATGCTGTAAGTTCTACTTTTGAGAGAGGCCTCTGTAGTCAAGTTTGTATCAGGTGACCAATTTCATGCCGGAAATTATTGATTCAGTGTATTAGCAGTGGTCTTTGTAGTGGATATTAGTCATGCTGGTGGTCACATCTTACCATCTCTTGAACACTCTTCCTATGCTTGAGGAATGTTCCACATCATGAGAACTGTCTCACCAAAACAGAAGCAAAAACTCACTTTTCCTAGTTTCCCTTTCAAGAACACAGAATGTGAACCAGGCTCTGCCAGTCAGACAGACCTCCTCCAGATTCTGTGATTTAGGAGTTTAGAAGTAAGGAGTAAGAAGGCAGAGTTGAGGAGGACACTTGCAGCTCCCTGTACTGGCAGTGGCTGCAATGTACCTAGTATATAGTAGCAGCAGCAATGGCACAACGTTCCTAGATGACAGCACAGCTCATTGTAACATCTGGTGTTTCCTAGCAACTTCAGTTTCCTCATCTAATCAGTTTGGCAGTGTGGTCTTCGGTGTTCTTAGAAGGTAGCCTTGAAAATGTTTAGTAACCTTTTAATAAACTCATTTCCTGCCTAATCAGGCAGCGTTAGCTTCTGTTGCTTGTAGCTAAGAGCTCTGGCTGATAAGTACCTGGAAATGTGTGCTGTTTTGCAAATTTGGTTAAGGTACATCACAAACCCCAAGTTTACAGTAACTTATGTTATTCTTCCTCAGTTCCCTGGAATTTGTAATTCCTTGGAATTATACCACTCTGAAATCACTAATTCAAATATTCCAATCTTTAATCTTAAACTCTTATCTTTCTACTAGGTATGCTTCTTAGCATAACAGTTAGAACCGTAGGCTCCAGAGCCTGATTGCCAGAGCTGGAATCCCATCTCTTGTTTCTTAGGCAAGTTGCTTGACTTCCTTTTGTCTCTATCCTCATCTTTAAAATGACGATAATAGTGCCTAACTTATATGATTATAAAGTGAGGCTGTAATGTGTATAAAGTACTTTGTAGAGTGTCTGGCACAGTATAAGGACTTAATATGCATCATCATTATGTTAATGCTATTTTGACCATTGTTTATTTTCATTCAACTTCTATACACTCATTTCTGTGCTTTCCCTTACCAAGCAGTCCCTTTCTTTTTTCACTTCTTTATCCAGCTTAAAATTTCATGGTTCCTCGTTTCATTAAGTTCATTTACATTCTTACCAGTACTTTAAATTCTCATCCAAAGTTCTATTCTAGTCATATGTGCCCAAAGGCAGCCAAAAATTGGTAGAGAAACCCACAAACAGGGTGTGTGGCTATTCTCAGAAATGATACAAACCCCTATTTGCCTTTAAAACAGACCTGCAATACTATGGTGTTTCTTTAATCAAAACTCTCCCTTCTTTATTGACATTTCAGATCTTTAAATTTTTTGACAGAAAGCCAGAAATCCTGAATGTTACGTGAAATCTCATTTTTAATTCTGATGTTGAATTCAAAATCTTTAAAAACATGTCTATCAGATAAAGTTATTCTGAGGACTAGATTCAGCAACCTACTCTTTTCCTAATCTACTATAATCAATATAGGCAGAACCAGTCAAGTAAGACACAAGTGACAGAAGATACCTTGAGGATATAAGTGCCTGCCCTCTGAACACAGCTAAACAGAAGCGTGGGCCCCTGCCTCAGAGCTTTGGTGGGTTTGGAGTATAACCCTAGCATAGGTATTTTTGAAAAGATTCACAAATTTTTCTGATGCAGAACCAGAGCTGAAAACCCCTACTCTACAAAACATTCTGCATGCTTTGGATGCTAAATAAGTTTAGAAGATGTGTTTTACTGCTGCCAAGCAAATTTTGGATGAACATGCAGCTTACAAACAACCTGTTTTAATTCTCCATAGTCTGCCTGCATGTTGCAGCTGAATTAAGCACTGTTTAACACCGGGCACTGAAATGGAAGAGAGCTGTGTTTGGTGGGAAAATAAGAAGTAAAATGTCGAAACAGCAATCCCATGCCTCCACCTCAATCTTTGGCTTTGTAGTGGCATTCTCACAATCATTGGATCAGGGCATTCTTCCTCAGGTTGATTGTAATTAACAATGTAAATAAAACAAATAACCCCTTAGACCAACATCCAGTTGTTTTGTGTACCTATTTTCAGGTGCTTGGTTTATCATGGAGTCGAAATTGGTCTATAGAAAGTAAGATGGGTACCATCCTGCTCCAGCCTAATATTGCTAAATAATAGGCTTTAATGCATTTCCATCTTCTCTCGCACTCTGGTTTCTGTCCCTCAGAGCCCGCCTAACTTGTCATTTCCTCTCTTGCAAGGCTCTTCAGAAATAAGCAAGAAATTTACTATTTAGCTTATTTACTTTGATGGCCCAATTAGAGGAACGTGGGTTTACTCCATCTTCAAGAAACAGGATTTGGAAATACTAATGAAATCAAAACATTTCTCTGTCCATATTCAACACTACCTTTGGTACATTTTTAATCAGCATGTTTAAACAAATCAATGTGGTCTGTGGTGGTTTTTCAAGGAAAGGTAACAGATCATATTCTGTTGGGAGACTCCCTCTACATGGATTGCTTCATCCTTCTTTTTTTTCATTCAAGGTTAATTTATTACAAATAAAACTTTACTCTCCTTTGCATCTAACTCAACTACGGGCAGTGAGAAGAGGAAGGGGAAAAATTCAATGACTGTGGATTTTCCCGCCCCTTTCCCCCAGCCACATACATAAGCACACATCTGTTCTTTCTCTGTTCCTCCCACTTCATCCTTAGATGTGCCTTTTTTCGTCTCCCCTTCCCCGTGTCCTTCACTACTCTAGCTCTCTGTCCCTTGACACCCATTTTTAAGTTAGGTCTTTAGAAAAGCCTTTAAGGCTGCATGAGCCACTGTCAGTCACTTAGAATAAGTCTATTGACACTATATATTTGGTGGGAAGAAGAACCCTAGAGCTTTAGTGGCAGTTCTTTTGTATACGTGGAGGTCAAGGAGCATAGGGAAGGAAAGGAGCAGGCAAAGAGGACTTATATTCTAAATATCTTAATTAGAAATCTGAATTAATTTTTCTGTAGAACTTTTATTATAAGTAGTTATTAGATTCTAGAGTTCTATAAGAGCTGATAGAACTATTTTTTTTTCCTATGAGGAAATACGTTCCAAGTCAGATAGCTAACATGAATGCATTTACAACATGTAATCTATTAGTGAATTATCAAAATTGCCTATGCATATTGACTTTCTGGTTGTCTTTTTTATTGAAACATAGTGACAACTAGTAAAAAGCTTTCAGATAAACATTTTGTTTAATTATTTAATGATGAGCAAAGGTTACTGAACAGTGATACTGTAAGGCACGTCTTCTTATGTAGATAAAGTCAGCATAAAATCGGAATGGTAAAATACTTACAAAGAAATATTTGAACTTGATGCTATTAATTCCACATCAAAATACTCATTCTTAATAATTTTTTTGCTTTG